GCTGTAACCGATCGTGCGTATTTTGGATCATCCGGTATTGATTCTCGGGCCCTTTGAAATTGTTTGCTCAAAAATTTACTTGAAAATATGACGACGCATTTCCACACACTGCAGTGTTTTTTTGTGGATAATTTTAAGTCATTGTTTTCTGCTCAAATTACGGTTGGAAACAGAGATAAGTTGTATTATTAGTAGTAGTATTATTAGTAGTATTTGTAGTTATAACACTAATTTATTGACAGTTGATCGTTGTGCAATAGTCAACTTTCTCCGGATTTAGAAAAACCTTACGTCTATTACTTTTTCTGCTCCCTTTTCTTATCAGTTCAGTGTATGACAATCTCCTTAATAAAAATTATAGCCATCTTTCGAATAAGGAAAAATTGTCATAAGACTAGACCGTGAAAGATAGTAGCTGTCCAATTCCTCCAGGAATCAACGACACCATTTGACGCTCATTGTCATTAAAAATTTCCGCGCCAAAATTTAAACTTTGGTTTATTTATTGCCATTAGATAAAGAACTTTGTCGAATGTGTAACCAGCCGTCTTAGTTAACAGTTAAAAGTAATAATTGATAACACTTAAATTCTGTATACATGATTTCAGTATAATTTTTGTCAGTTTTTCTCTTCGAAGTGTAACTGGATACTTGACTATTTTAAGGTCATTGATTGTGTCTTCTGTGATCCTGCGAATTGTTTGTCTTTTTGAAAAATAATTCGGTTTGTCTAAAAAACCTCTAGGAGATTGTTAAAAGTTCGAAAATACACAAGTCTTGCAACTCTATTTCGTTAACTAACCATGAATGTTGTTTGTATTTGGCAGTCGACACTTGCGGTATATAACGTTTTCATTGGTCCGCATTATTTTTACAAGAATGCAATTGCTGTTCATTTCTTTCTCTGATTGAGGTTCTGAAATCAGTTTCCAACGGTTATTGATTAATTTACTTGGCTGAAGTTATTCCACAGAGGACTGACTGTTTCTGTTCCAGTTCCTGATTAATGTGTTCATTTTCGTTTGCGTATGACGTCAATTGTTTAATAAACTGTTATTGTTTAAATTTCTGATTGTTATACTTTCACGATAAGGACGAATGTGTGGGTTACTAGGCTGCCAACTGCGGCCAAACTGAGTAAGTGCAACGTAGGGTTACATTTAATTACTTCCATGTCTATTTAGTATTCACGAATTAAATTCTCAGTGACATTTTATGAAAAAAAAGTATTAGTTTTGCAGAAAGACTTTCACAGCATATAGCAAAATAGATCAAAATACATATATATGTACAATGCGTCACATAATAGTATATTAAAGAACAAGTTGCATGAGGCAAATATGAGGCACGAACCCAAGTTTATAGAGCAAGCGGCGAAGCCGCGAGTTATATAAAGGATGGCTTTATGAACGAGTTATTTATACTGTTTTTTCTACCGCGCACGTTTTTTCGCAAAATTTAATTGAAATTTGCATTTTTTTAAATCTGGTGAAGTTTGTCGTGGTTGGTGATGGGTTGGTCTGACACTAACCACGAAATATTTGAGGTTCGAATTTTCACAACAACTGTAATTCAAATCAATTCGAGTTTTTGTTAGTTAAAATTGGCTAAAACATCTTGTAAAGAAGTTAGTGAAGTCCTTACGCCTCCGGAAATACGGGAAATTTTAATTTGACATTTGCCACTCACATTCTCGTGATGGCTACCAATCTTACCGATCTAAATTACACCAGATCTATTAAAGAACGCCTTTCCGCTATTAACGAACTGCTGTGACGTCATTTGCGTGCTTTAATAGGTCTATTAGAAAACCAAAAAATGTGCGCGGTAGAAAAATGTCTTATAGAAAGCGAAATTAAAGTTAATTCGCGATTAACTTTTAAATTGAGATCCGTTGCTAACCAACGTGCATGTTTCAACCAATCACGAACTCATATTCCACATTTTAATTTTTATTAATCGAGGATTAAATATTTAATTCGCTCTTCTATAAACCGGCCCTTAATGTTTTCTTTATTTAACGGAGGATCAAATATTTAATGTTTAGCTTCCCAACAATTCCATTTTTTTCTGTTTAATAGTACAGCAATTATTTTATGGAAATGTTATTTTGCGTTAGAATTGTATATAAATTATTTTAATTTTACATGTTCGCTGTTTTTGTCTGTATCTAGTTTTTTTCTTTAAATAATACAGCAATGCTGTACCATACGCTAAATAAATAAATAAACAAATAATCGAAGGTGGTGATAATTAAAATTAAATAAAGCTATTAAACGGAACGACTGATGTATGCTAATAAAGGGGCCATTAAAAAATTATTTATTAACTGACCTAAAATTTTCTCAAAGGTGTGTAAATGATTGAATTGATTCTACACCTGAGTTTCTTCTCAGTTTTCGCTCCCAATTCTTTACTGTTTTTATTTTTGCATCAAAGTAATATCAGTCCCAGGCTTTATCCAAATTCGTCCCCAAATGTGAAGTGGTGGTATGCGAAAATTATACCACGCGTTGATTACACAAACAAAATACTGCTCTTCGAGCGACATAAAATTTGTCGAAATTCGAGAAACAAAACTCGCATTTTATTCCGCACTTATTCTGTAGTTTGCATAAAAGTATGCTAATTTGGTGTTTTTGGCGATTTTAAAGTGGATTTTGGTGTTCAGTTTATGCGTTGTAGCGTGAATACGCATCCATGAAATTGGATAAAATAACGTATAGAAACCAACAAGTGAAAAATACTTTGTAAACTTCGCACTTTATGCACCTGATGCTGGGGCTTAAAACTTTTTTAATTACATTAAGTGGATGCTAATGATATTGTGAACAAATTTAGTGTTGCTCCTACTATAATAGAAGCAGGATTTGTCATAATATAATGCCTAAAGTTTGTAATCAAGTTTTCGCTATTAAGTGTTTTAGTCGTAATTCGGAATGAGTGATGGACCTTCTTATTACAGGTTTTTATCATAATCGCAAATATCAACATTTCGTACCTCGATCATCTGGCGTTAGTATGGCTGTCTGAAGACGAAACTGTAATCTATTGCGATTTATAGATTAAAAGATTGTATTATTATTTTTTATCTTGTAGTTTTTGCAGCCATAAAATGTCAGTATCTCTAATGATAAAAACTATTAAAAAATTAATACTTCAAGAAAGCAACACGTGCTCCGTAGTTTTTACGTAACTATAAAATTAGCATTTATTACAACAAAGACATTTTGTTTTATTCGATTGTAATTGTAGCCGTACGAATGTAAATTTTTATAGCAAAAATGAGTTTTAACGAAGTATAAAACGTTCTGACACAAGTCGACATCCCTGACGACCGGTGTAATAAATTTTAACATTTATTCAATTTATTATTCATTTTTATGACTAGCCAGTGATATGGTATTAGAGAACGTGAATTTTTCCTAGCTCGGATGTTTCAAATTAAATTGTGAAGTTGAGGTTTCCACTTTTATTGTTATTGTCATGTATGATACCAAGTAAACATCATTGATTTTGTACGTCTCAAGTCCTAGCCTTGTTGACAGCAATATTATATGCATTGTAAAAGTAAAATGGAGAAGTAGGTTACAGTATCTCGGTTCTTTCGTGGAAGGTTTGGAATAAATTATTATTTTTCTAGAATACGTGTTCCAGGTTGTTTATCGATATTTGACGAGCAAAAAAAACTTTAATGTAATACTTAACAATACGCTTGCCTTGGGCAAAAAAGCGTAAGATCCGCATTAAACTTGTAAATTCAATTATATTACTTTGCAAACCGTGAACATAATAGTGTCAACATCACTAGAATGTCCAATAGTGGTCATATTCATGTCAATGCCTAAATAAATTAAATAAATTAAAAACGTGTGTACTGCATTTTTAAATGTCGTGCAAGTCATTGAATAACGTCCAAATTAATATCTGACGTACCAACAAATAAGAATTTAATTATACCAACTTGAATTTTTTCGGCTTCATAACGTGACGTTACTATGATTTATAAAGCGGCGCATTGTGAAAAGAGAATATAGCCGACATAAAAAAAGAGCATTACGTTTTTCCAAATAAATCACCGCTTGTTCGACATCACTCACGACGTATAATTTCGGTCCGATGTTTATCGTCGAAATTTTTGGTAAATCGCTGCGATATTTTAACCAAAGCGTTCGAATCAGGCGAATCGTCGAGCATTCCGAAAGTGGCGAACTGCCAATTACACGTTATTGAAATTCACAACGGCTGCAGACGTCTCGTTCGTGTAAAATGCGCTTTAGAGATGAACCGACATGCTTTTCGACAATGACAACTAATCGGCCTTAATTGAACTGATTGAATAATGCCCAGGTTGTTATGACATTATAATTCTGCTGAATGGAGGGCGTTGTTCTCCGAATGAGCATTGTTTCGAAAAATCAATCAACTTCTTTGTTATGGTGGATGTACGCCTTAAACAAATTTGTTGGAACGTTAGACGAACAGTTTAAATCTATTGGAAAATGGAGGTTTGGGTAGGTGCGCATGCGTGGGGAGGGTGCGCAAGCGCAGTAAGGTGCTGTATAAAGTATAGCGCACATATTTATTTTGTTGTAAAATCTGCAATTGCAGGTGTTAATTGGAACTTTCTTAATGGGGTTACAATTATAGAGCAAGCAATTGACTGATATGCTAAGCTAAATCATTTATTTGATAGAACACGTTCCCAAAAAAGTAATATCCTTCATGGTTTAACGGAGGCATAATCAGACTTACAAGGTAAATACATATAGCATAGTCAAAGTTTAAGCCATTAGAGAAACAAAAAAATCAGGAATCTTTCAAAATTTTAAGATCAAGAGTTAAAGAGATATTTTATGATTGAAAAAGAAGAGAATTGGAAATCCAAAATTTCGGTCACCATTATTGTCATTTATTTCGAAAGTCTAAGCCAGTGTCCATTAGGAAATTGAAAAAAAGCACGTATATCACGAGAATCATAAATCACTTTTTTTTTTCAGATTTCGGCCAATCTTTTTCGAACACTGCCTCCCAGCGAAAATCCCGACTTCGACCCAGAAGAGGATGACCCCACGCTGGAAGCCAGTTGGCCGCACCTCCAGCTAGTGTACGAGTTCTTTCTAAGGTTCTTGGAAAGCTCGGATTTCCAACCGGCCATAGGAAAACGTGTGATCGATCAAAAGTTTGTTCTGCAATTATTAGAATTATTCGATTCCGAAGACCCCCGGGAAAGGGATTTTCTCAAGACGGTGCTCCACCGCATATACGGAAAGTTCCTTGGGCTAAGGGCCTTCATCCGCAAACAAATAAACAACATATTCCTTAGGTAAAGTGAAAATTTGTAGTTTTTTCTAGCGCGAACGTCGATCGGCACGCATTATTTATTTTTGTGGCGTTTGACGAAAAGGTGAATTTTTATTTTTTGGCAGTTTTAAGGTGTCTCGAGTTTGGGGTATATTTTGAAAAAATTTTGTGCTGATTTCATTCATTTTGTTTCAACTGCGTTGGCTTATGTGTTGCTAAGCTAAATTAGAAGCTTAAATAAATACCTATCATATTACCTTAGAAAATACCATCTGTTTGGGTTTTTAATAACGTATTTTACAACTACAACGTTACCCAGAACTGTACTACTTTCCAACTCAATTAATCATAGAAGAAGTTATATCCACCTATTTTTTACAGACGTATATTTTCTACATAAACAAATTCTGATCACTCAAAATTTGTCATCAAAAATTTTTATGTTTTCAAATATAAAACACAAATGAATTTTGATCAGAAATATATGGTTACTTTTTTTGTAGAACCGTCGTCTCCACTCAAATTTATTAAAATTAGTTGACGGACGCTATAGAAGTTTTGCAATTATTTCTGGGTGCATTTAACGAGCCTATTTCACAATACTTATTTTACAAATTGCACTTTAGGTGATGAACTGCAATGGAACAACTAAGCCTTTTCATTATAATGCTTCAATTTTGTTGCTTTGGGCCGCGATTTGGTTTCTTTATTACTGTAAGTACATATTTTTTTACTTGTTGCAATCTTTGGTAACTTTATTAATGTTAAATTTACACTTTCAAATATTTGTTGGCCATAGCGGTTTAATGATTCTAGTTTTAGCCTGATGAAAAAAATAAAATAGTCAGCTAATAAATTTTATACAACTTACATTAATAATTTTAAACCATCTTTTCATAATTTTAGTACATAATACATTTAAACTTGTAGTAGTATAGTATGAGGGTCATTCGATAAAGACCTAAGGAAAGAGAGAAAAATGCGTATGTTTTTCCTATCCAAAGAATCTCTTGCTTTCATAATCGCCTTTAAACTCTTATGCCAATTGAAGGGGAGATGATGCAGTATTGTCTTAGAACATTACAAGTCAGTCACACAAACAAATTTTAGATTCCGGTTGCGAAGAACCTGACAATTCATTGTAAAAGATCGTAATATGAGTTTTAATCTTCATAGAATTCCTCTTGTATTTTTACAAATGTGGTATTACATTAATTTAGATATAAAGTAACCTCACTTAACATACACCTTGTAAAATTTTATGACTTAAGCGGCTTAAGCCAAACCACCCTTGTAAGTCAAACTGGCTATTGTAGGCTTTATGCACCCGAACCGCAAGGATTATTACTGTCCATTATTGCCATAATGTGAACCGAGTTAACTTATACAATAGCCAATTTGACTTATAAGGGTGGTTTGGCTTAAGCCGCTTAAGTCATAACATTTTACAAGGTGTATGTCAAATGAGGTTACTTTATTTATCTAGCACGGTTTAAAATAGACACGTTTTGAATAAAAAGTAATACTTCTTTGACAAAATCGGAGAGCTAAAAATTTTCTTTTTAAAATAATGGTGTGGTGTTGCAGAAGACAATATATAGACTCTAACATAAGTCGAAGGCAAAGAACTAAGTTATACCGGCATAAGAGATGTCATAGTTTTATGACTTTGACTTTTCCACTCCCTCGTCTGTGGACAAAGTGTCTTAAATCAATACCGTTAAAGATAAGCCGGTTCTGTTTAGGAGAAGTATGCGATCCAAATACAAGAAAGAACCTCTCTTTAAATTTGGAATGGTGTCATAAATTTACATCTTATAAGCTGCATTATTTATTGACAAGGGTAGTGAAGGAGTCAAAATCGTAAAACCGACATTTCTCTTGTGCCAATATACACGTTAAGGTGGGTCCTGATCTGAACACTTTAATCCGAACGAACCAAACGCGCAGTGCACGCACATACGAATTCATCTAGTGAGGACGTGTCTCTGCGCCGAACATCGGTTGTCGGTAAATGTGGTCAGATCAAAGGCATTTGTTCGTTGGTGCGCAGTCAGTACCGTCAATTCGGTGTATTCGTGCGTTTGGACCGTTTGCAGCAGTCGCAGTTAAAAATGAGTGAATTAACGGAGTAAAATAGAGAGAAATGTTAGAATTAATCAGTATGAGAAATATCCCGTATTATGAAATCCTAAACATGGTTTATATTACATTTCCAAATCTGCTGCTGTCATGCGAGTAAAATTTTTCAAATGTCCACTGTCCATGTTTCTCAGTAATGCATTGTTTTCACGCCTTGAAAATAGTCAGGGAATGAATCAGAAAAAATGCACTAGCAGCCACTATAACGTCATCCATGTTTCAAATCTGCGAGAATCCTGGAAATGCAGTGGGAACACAGCAAATGCCTCAAAAACAGGGATCATTTGCGCTGATCGGTTGTTCTGTTTGTTCGTGCCCACACTGCGCGTTTGGTTTGTTCGGACCAAAATGTTCAGATCAGGACCCACCTTTTAAGTGTACCGTTTTAAAATTCGAGAAGCATTTAGCATTTTGTAATGTATGGAGAGTCACTGCTTGTAGGAAACATACAAATTTGTTGGTTAATATATGTATACAAGGGTGATTCAGAGCACTAATGCATAATTTTAATGGCAAATTAAATGACAAAAAATAAGTAATTGATCCTAGTGGAAGTATGGTCAATTTTTTAAAATATGGCCACAAGAGTCTTAAAATTTCTTGAAAGATCAAAATTACTTTCCACTGTGGTTAATTTATTAGAAAACACTATTGTAACACCTTGGTAAATGTTCATTCAATTTTTAGATGTTACCAAAGAAACATGTATCATGATTGTTAAATGACAACAAATCGGAGGTATTTCTTGTCAGTGATTGTCAATAGATTTTTTTTCCTTTCACTTGAATAATAATGGCTAGATTCACCAATAAAGAATACTATGATATTGACTGTGTAATGGCAATGCAACAGCAACCAGCTGCTTGTTTCTTGTGATCTGCATCCTACGTTAACAGAATACGGTAAACCTATACTCACACCAACATGGGGCTATATATTATATAGTTATACTCTATAACAAGAATGACGAAAATACCCCAAGAAGCTACTGTTTGGAGAGTTCTGAAGTCGGAAATGCATCTATCATTGAATGCGTAGTAAACAGAACACCTTTTATCTGAAGATATGCAACATAAATTAAGGTTTTGTCACTGGACATGCATTAGAACTAATGGATGACACTTTGAACATCTATAATAAGACTATTACTTGCGCTCTGTTACTCCCTGTTGATTGATTAAGGAAAGTTGCACTGCTCATGTTCTATTTGCCGAGCCTGACCATTTTTAAGCAGTAGTGCTTAAATCATAATTTGGAGCTGACACCAACTGACACGTTCTGACAAGTGGCACTTCTGTTTTTTTTTTCAGTAACTAGTAATCATGGCATTTTCAAGGCAACGCAGCTGCGACAGTCAATGAAACCATGTGTTTTTTAATGTATTGAAGCAATTTATTTTGCTAATAAAATTGACGACAGTGAAAAGTATTTTTGATAACGTAGCAAATTTAACAATTGTGTATTCTGTATTTTTGAGAAATGATCATGGTTTTTCTAGACCATTTTACTTATTTTTTGCTATATAATTTGCCATTAAAATTGTGCAGCAGTGCTCTGAATCACCCTGTATACATTTTGTAAAAAAAAGTACCTGTATACTTCTTCATATGTTCCCGGTTTTAAAAAAAATTGTATTATTTGTATGACAATGAAGTTTTAAATTCAAGGATTGTTAAGCCGCTATAAATATGAATGAAAGAATTATCACATACCGGTGAACAACAACCTTAAAATCCGTTTAAGGCCGCATTTTCCTCGTCCCTTTTTCTTTCTAGCGATGGTCGAGGGAAGCATTGTGATCGGATTACATATTTCAATGAATGTCGAATATTATGTTTTTGGCGTTTTATTGTTCGAAAATGTGGTCGACTTGTCTATGTGTTATCTGCTATTTGTATGTTCACCAAGAGAAGAATCACATTCGGACTATCTTTACGTAAACCTTGTTTTAAATGTACGTGGTTTACTAATCCAACTGTTTTTAATTTTTCATTAACGGTTTGTGTTATAAATTAATTTGAATTTATGTTAATTTTGCAGTTTATATTGAACATAATATTACATACTTCGTGAAGTTTTAGCAAAACATTACCATTAATTTGGTATTAACAAATAAGTACTAATTAAAATATATTTACACGTAACCCTCGTAAAGTTCATGATGTCATATCAAAGAGTTATTAAATAAGATTTTATCAAAAAATAACCTTGTAGTACGGTCCTGTAATTTGCGTTTATTAAAAAAAATGTGTGATTACAATTGTGCACTATGTTTTATTTTATTTTTATTTTTTTTTTTTTTGCTATATTTATCCACCGAGTGAGCGTGATGTTCTCAAAAAAATACTGATTTAATTATTGAGGTGTACGCCATGTATTTATTATCCTTTAAAAACGAAGAAAGTTCGCCGTGAATAAATTTACATGTTTCTAATTTATTCATGTAATAAAATAATATTTTGTAAGGTTTTTAATATAAATAAAACGAATTAATTTCACTAAAGTCTGATACTTTTTAAAACATAAATTTATAAATTGTTGATTAATATTTTTTTGTGAAAAATGTGTATCCACATCAACATCCACGTTGTACATATTTTTTTACGTGGGAGTATTACACCTGTCGGAGTAACTTTTGGACTTTTCTAATTTGGTTACAATTCACCACGTACCATCACTAATTACTTTTCCGTGCCTAGAGGAATTTACTTAATTAACAATATCGCCGCATTGCATCTATCAAATCCTATTTCAGGATTTTAGTAAAATTCTAAAACCTCGCTTCATATTTCACCTATCCTTGATACTTGAACCGCGATAAAATATTAGTGTCATTTAAATAAAACATTCCTATCTTGTTTAATACGCTTGTTAAAAAAC